TTGTTGTGGGATGTTGATTTCCCTTGTTCCTTTGAGAGTGAAATAGAGTCTTGGCAGTTGACTTCTCTCTATGACTTTTAAACTGATATATACTGTATTCCGTTTTGAAAATGGTTTTGGTTTTTATTATCTATATATACTATTTAACGTGTACTGATGGGTTACCAGCAATGTTCGCTGACCGGGCGTCGTCCCCTTTCTTTATGTTGCTTTACAGTTCTTGAGTAGCCAAGCATTGGCATAAATGCACCCAATAACAAGCTCTAGATATTCATTTTCACAAGACAATGCATAAACACTCATATTTCATAGCAAAATCACATGTAGAATCCACGAAATCATCACATAGGTAAGCAAAATAGATTTTGTAGAGCATGGGTTACCTCATTCGCTTATCCAACCAAAACCAACGCCAACATTGGCTCAACTCATAAAACCAAGCTACCGTGAACCTGTGAATCAAACTGATCCTCGACTATTAACAAAAGCACTAATAAAAATAATTATGCTCATAAGGGGATTTAAACTCTGGTTCAACCCTAAATTACCCACAAATCAAACCAATCAAGCTAGGCATCCTATTGTTAATTAATCACAACACTGATATACTAATAGGCAAGCTAATAATCAAGATTAATAGATAGAACTTACTACTTAAAATTAAATACTAAAACAAGCTTATAACCTTAAGCAAAAATCAAACCCTCACTAAACACAACCACAACCACCACCCTTACCACTAAGTTAGTAACTCAATTAATAATATAACTAAACAAAAATTAACTAATATCATCCTAAACAGCAACACACAACAGAACAGAAGCTCACCATCAACACTGCCTTCTTCTTCATGCATCCACGCCGCGGGTGGAACACTGGTACATCACCACCCATCCAACTACCCGCGGGTACACCGGAACCACCATGTCGCCAGAGGAGCTACCACGCCGGGAACGGAGGAGAGACGCCATCACCGAGCTCTGTCGATGCCGCTGATGCCAGGCAACATCACTACCACGAGCCTCCCACTACTGCCATTTCTGTTGCTTTGGACATCGAAAGCAGAGGAGAAGCTTTATACGTTATCCATGTTGTCGCCTCCTGCTCAACCGCCACCGTTGAACGAACACCGAGAATGGCCGTCGGAGCAGTCGCTGTTCTGCACGTCGCGACCTGCTGCTGCCGGAGATTACACATCTGTTGCTGCCTCGCCGGGAGGAGAGAAGAGAGATACAAGGGAAGGTTTGGGGTGAGGTTCTCACCTCTGTAATCGGGAAGCCGAACGAGAGAGAGACACGAGAGAGAGGCGGGTATAGCTGGCTGCTTAGCGAAGAAGATGAGGAGGGGGTCTTTGGTTTTCAAGGTTTGAAGGTCACGGCTGATTGAAGTTGGGAGAGGGATGATATGATACATACATACTTACTATAGAGTGTAGGGTTACCCAATGATTGGGTTCGGCTAAAAGAGAAGGTTGAACTCATCTCATGGCCATAATTAGAAAGTAGGCTTATTATTTAGGCTTGGATGGTTGGGCTCAAGACTACAACGTGTATATATATATATATATATATATATATATATATATATATATATATATATATATATATATACATATATATCCATTTATTAATTTCGGGCTTATAAGTAGGCTTAGATAATAAAATTGTCTTTAGACTCTAAGGCATTTGGACACAAAAGTACCGGTTCACAATACTAAATAGACCCGAGCCCATTTCTAAATAAATTGCTATATAAATATTTATATTAAAATATTTAATACCGGGACGATAATTTATTTTATAAAAATATGGGGAGTCACATCCTCACCCCCTTAAAAGAAGCTTCGTCCCGAAGCTAGAAAACCATTTTGGGGATAAGGGTGTCAAGAAAATACGATGGTGTATATAGGGAAAAACATTTTACGGGAATTTGTATACATATATATATTCTAGGCTTTGGAAAAGATTTGGTTCGAAAGGTTGGAAAGGATGACGATTTAAATTTTAAACTCAAGGACACGCTGGTTGGTAAGAAAAAGGAAATGAGAGTTAAGGTTCCAAACCTGAGACAACGTCAATTTGGAATAGGATCAAAGTTATCAAAGTTGCAACTTAGGCTCACAGGCCTTAACGCTAATAAAGGAAGAGATAAAACTATCTACAGGCCACTAGCACGCTCTCCAAAGTTATCCAACCCGTAAAGCAACAAATAGAAATGGGACGACGCCCGGTCAGCGAATAATGCTGGTAGCCCACCAATACATGTGAAATATCATACATAGATAAGATATAAGTTGTAAAGCCATTCTCAAAACGGAATACGTATATATAAGTTCAAAACCAAGAGTAATAGTCAACACAAGACTCAAACACTCTCAACAAGAACACGGGAACACATCCCAAGACCACAAAGAATAACAACGACTCACAAGAAGTCTCAACGTATAATCTATCATCACATAATAGATTAACACCCGACATGTACAACTCAAAGGAATAGGGACACACCCAACGGAAACACTTGCCTTTGTGACTACACATATCACAAGAAGAGAACTCACAATAACGGCTACACAAGCCCTCGTGACATCACCCATCATGAGTTGATATTGTAACACGCCAAAATTTTGAAACTTTTAAAACTTATATAATAAAGGTAAATCCTCATTAAATCCCGAAATCAAACATAAGAGTATGGGGTGCTACTCCACACCTGAGCTAGAGAACTCAGGTGCACAGGCTAACTAACTAAAATCCTCAAATAATGTCAATACATAAGCATGGCACGCAGGCCGAGAGGGAAACTAGCTACTCTACGCCTCGGATCTCTAACGCGCTCTGGGATCTACTCATCTGTGCCTGAAAGCCAAATATATCTATTCAGCAAGCGATGCTGGTAACCCACTCCAACACGTTGAAATACAAAATAGGTATATATATATATATATATATATAGATATAGATATAGATACAGGAAAACCATTTTGAAGTAGGAAGATATATACTTAGGAGACTCTAGCTTTAAAACAAGGAATAGACTCAGCAAATAGGGATAAGCACATTAATCAATGATAAACAGTTAAGTAGCGATAACATCATAAGGAATACGCATCTAAGGTCGCAGAACACTTTTCAATTCAAACACATCATCATTCAATCATCACTCACATCACATAATCGTTGATGGCGCCACGGGACCAATCGCATGCCCCGAACATGAGGGTTAATGCTTATAGCATTAACACGGCTCCGCAGCACCCTACCTCAGTACCGTGGTATGAGGGGAGTTGATCGCAACCAACCCTTTGAGAACCGCTGACAAACTCAACGTCAGACCACGATCCGACACACCGCTGACGCGCATAGTCGGTGGACCGCGATCCCCTTTACAAGGAGGGACTTACGACCCTACACACCGTTGATGCGTACAGTCGGTGGACCGTATAGGATCAAGCCCGACACACCGCTGAGCTAAACTCAGTCGGTGGGCGAAGATCCTCAGACACTACGGCCCTACACACCACTGTCCCATCACTCGGTGGATCGCAGCCAGCCGTAGCCCTACACACCGCCTGATTACTCAGGTCGGTGGACTACAGCCTTCCTCGGCTTATTGGCCCTACACACCGCCTGGCGCGTCCAAGGCCCATGTTGGACCGCAGCCCAAGAAGTGAATCAATTCCGCCTTTAGCCAACTTCTGAGCCTTAGCTCAGGAACAATCCATTTATCCTTCAGCCACTTCCGAACCTTTAGTCCAGGAACAATCCATTCGGCCTTCAGCCGACTTCCGAACCTTAGTCCGGGAATCACCCAATTGGCCTATAACCAAAATGGGGGATCATGCAACACATAACACATAGGAGCACGTAGTAGCATATTGGGAGGAGAAATACATATAAATAAACTTACGTGTGATCATTCAAATACTAAGAATAGTCCTAAGGGTTCATACAACTTCCACCTAGGTCAACGGGTTACAAATTCAACTAGCATGCAATTCCTAAGACTCATTTAACCTACGAATGGTACCCGAAATATCAAACTAGACTCAAGCATGACAAACGGGGTCCGTTGGGACACCGTGGGGGAGCGGGGAACAACAAACGGGAAGCCAAAGACCCGGGGTGGGGTACGGACCAGCGGGTAGCCGGTGGGTGGGGGTCAACCGCCGGCTGCCCGCCGGAGGGCAGTGTTCCGGGCAGCGGGTCGCCGGCGGGCAGGCGGCTGCCCGGTGGCTGCCCGTTGCCGGGCGGTGTCCTTCGGGCAGCGGGTAGGTGGCGGGTTCCCCTACCCCCACTGACTCTTTTCTCATATATTTGTCCCGGGAACCTTTGTGGAACACGAAACCATGCTTAGACACTTTTAAACGCGAATAACGACACCACGTAGGCAATTAACGGATCAAAAGCAAGGATCACGTAAGAGTTATCCTATTATGACTTCTAAATATAAACAACACCCGAACACGAGAATTCCCACCCAAATGTAAATCAAGAACATCACAACACAAATTCCCAATCCAACCTAGGGCTCTAATCCCACCCAAATCATCAAGATCATATTTTATCTTTAACATCAAGAAATATCAAGATTCGTCAAGAATCATCACATCAAAATAAAGAACTTCTTTTCAACATCAAGATCATCAAGAATGCATATAAATCATCTTATCAATCATCAAGAACATAACACAATTATCATAGAAGAATTCATCAAGACACAAGAATATAGAGGGTGGCCAAGGAAGGAGATTATAGCAAAGAAAATAGGTTTTGTTGCGACATGCGTTACCTCTTGGCCTTAATTAATCCTCCCTTGGCTATTAAGGTTCTTCCCTAAAATTTCCATCCGTTTGATCTCCCTAGGCTTGGTGGTGGGGAGTCCTTGGGGAATTCTTGTGTGGTGATAACTATTGTGGTGTGACTTCTAGGTGCCTCCTATGTTCTTATATATATATATATCTAGGAGTCCTAATCAGGGTCTGAATGGTATGGGTTTACTAATTCTGTAACACCCCCAAAACAACAAGACCTAAAAACAAGTCTTAACACATGCAGATTAACAACAAAACTAGCACAACGGAAGATAAACGAAAACTGGATAAAAGAAATCCAAACAAGAGTGTTATGCCACGTATACCACACTAGGTAACGCTAAGGCGACAATCTGCAAGTGTATCACACTATCCCAAAACATCAGTCTAAAGCAATCTAAAACCATTGGCGCGCAGGCCACGAAAACACAGTCTAAAGATACAGGTGCTAAGCTACCAGGCTCTAGACATCGCGCTCGACTACTCAACAGCTGAAAGAACACAAAGATAAACATCGGGGCGACGCCCGGTCAGCGAAAGATGCTGGTAACCCACCAATACTGTTAAGTATCATAAATAGGTAGATATAAGATATAAAAACCATTTTCGAAACGGAATACATATATATAAGTCAAAAGCCAAGATCAAAAGACAACACAAGACTCACAACTCACAAGGATAACACCGGGAACACATCCCAACAAAAAAGGTTAACCACACACAAGGATAAAGACTCACCCAACGACAACAAATGCCAAACAACACAAGCCTCCATGACTGCACACGTCACGAGAGAAGATCACACAACAACGGCTACAAAAGCCCTCGTGACATCACCCATCACGAGTTGATATGCCTTCCTTATGCCCTGTTCCAACCTTATGGCTACCCCCAACCTTGTACCTTCAAGCCAACCATTACCTCCAGAATCCCCTGTACAGCCAAGTTCAACCTTATTCCTCCAGGACCGTCGTCCCCCACCAACAGACCACAAAAGAACCACCACCAATCACGACAAAACATGCCCGGATAACAAAATGTTGTCCTCCAATCACGTGAACCTTTCTCGAAGGAACACAACTCCATAATCACGTCACGGCCACCACGAGGACCGCTGCAATACCTTGGTGACTAGCGTCCCATACCACTAATCGTGCAATCCAGGTAGAGCCACACACGCACCACCACTCACACGAATCAAACAACGGATCACAACGAAGGTATGAAACTTACTCAGTCAAGGAACGGGTCACCACCCAATGACAACAATGATGAATAACGCAAGTTATCATCAACCAAACGGAAGGTACGAACAACACACACGCTAGCATTAAGACAACAAACTAGCATGCTTATCAACGGGGAAACTCAAGATAGTTTCGAGGAACACACAAGACACCTCTTGGTTCAACGAAACACAATGTTAAACACTTAGCACGAACCAAGACACCAAAGATCCTACATGGATACCTACCATATAGCTCTAGACCTACGAAACATCAAGAAGACACTCAAATTGTTCCACAAAAGAACAACGGGAAGCCAAAAGATCAAACACCAAAACAACCGAATCACGGGGAACAAATCCCGACATCGCAACAACTATGTACCCGCGGGTGGACCCACGGGTAGTGCCCCACCCGTGGTCCCGCCCGCGGGAACGTCCCGATATCACCACAAATCCCTTCGGGGATTTTCTCCTCCAAACACAAATTCAAGTCCAAAACACACCAAATCTCACCAAACACAACAAAATGACTTGAACCAAGGAACATGCCAAGCAATGGCACAAAGGAACCCTAAACACAGGCTCTAGATATGCAATATCACAAGATAAAGGCATAAACACTCACATTTCAAAGCAAAGCACAAGTAGAGTCTAAGAAATCATATATAGGTAAGCGAAATAGGTTTTGTAGAGCATGGGTTACCTCTTGAAGACCAAAAGACTTCTCTTACACCACAAAAAGCTCTCCACTAAGCTCACTAGCCAAACCCACTTCAAGATCTAAACAAAAGATCATAAAGATCCTACCTTTAAGAGAAAGACTACTAAGATGGAACCAAAAAGACTAAACAAGCTTAGATCTTACCCTTCTAGATGCCCAAATAGGTGAAAGATTGAATCTTGGAAGCAAAACTTGGAATCTTGACAAAGGTCTCACTTGGCTTGAAGAACAAGCTACTTTTCTTTTCTAGAGAAAAGGTAGAGATATTTTCTAGGAATTGTAAGGAATGAAATGAAGAAGTCTTCTAGGTTTAGATTACAACACTAGCTCTTGGTGAAAAGACAAGGATACCCTTACTAACTTTTAGAAAGTGTAAGGAACAAGGGAACTCCTCTCAAAGCACAAGGTACAACACAACTTAAAGATTGACTAGTCAAATACTAGTCCTTGAGTATTAAAAATCAGGATTTTAGGAATCAATTCCTCAAGAGAAATAGAATTAATTACTCAATTAATTCATGGAATGGAATGTGGATTTTCGGGGTGTCACATCCTCTCCCCCTTCAAAGAAGTTTCGTCCCCGAAACTTGGGTACAACAAGCCAAAACGAAGGTAACAAGGAAACAAAATTGAGACAAGAAATTTCAAGAATATCCCTTTTGGTCAAAACTCCAAAAGTTCTCACAAGGGTTCCAAAGCAAAGAAGAAGACATTACGGATTCAAGGATTAGCAAGGGGTCAACAAACGGATAGATTGAGCATCAAGAACTCTACCCTCAACACAACAACCAACTTCTAGCCAACAACCAAGAACTCAACAACTAACCCAAACACCAACTAACAAACTACCTAAGCAACAAGGCAACAAACAAAACAAGCAAACACACAAAGCACACAACAACCTAACACCAAGCTACAACGGCTAAGAAACAACAAGGAAGAAGCGAACGGGGTTACCACAACACCACTAGAACTCCTCACTCTCCGACTCTTCGGCCTCTTCAGACTCTTCTTATTCGGCTTCATCTCTGTGACTAGAACTAGCTTCAATCTGATCCAGCCTCTGATGCACTTCGACAAACTGAGACTTCACAAACGCAAAGCCCTCGGCGATCAAACTGTTCTGCTGACGAAGCAAAGAGACGACGTCCTGCTCTCTCTTGGTGCGAACTTCTTCCCTTCTTCGGCTTTCCTCACTGTCTGATTCACTTACTTCAGCTTCGGCGGTCTCCGGTGCTCCTTCTTCCTGATCTGTTTCCTCCTCAACTTCTTCGTCACCACCCAAACTCTGGACTGCACGGCTCAACTTCCTGGCATGGATCCCAAGCCCGGCAGCTAACTCTGCTCTCTCAACAGGTGCTTTCTTTCCTTGCAACCTCTTCAAGCGTGATGTACTCACCACTATCCAACTGAAACAGATTACAACTCCGGAGATTGGCGGTATCCAACACCATCTTTCCAACAGCCTTCGGGAGACAACCATCCACACTAACACCTTTCTTAACCAAAATCCAACTTAGCACCATTCCATACGTCAAACTCTTCCGATTGTGATCTCGGCAAAACACCATGTGTTGCATCATCAAAGCCGGCAGGTTGTACTTAACCATATTCTTCAGACAGAAAGCAAAGGTACACTCCAACTTACCCAACAAACTGCTCTTGTTCTTGTTAGGCAACAAACAATCTGACACCAACATCACCAAGATCCTTTTTTCCGCAGACAACCACTTCCTTTCCGGCCTCAAAGCCTGAGTGAAACCACTCGTATGGCCAAACAGATAACTCAAATAGTCACGGTACCCCATGGTATCCGTACTAATCCAAGAATGACCACTGTACTGAGCCACTCCTGTAGCAGACAAACTCAACAACTGAGCCAACATCTTCTCAGACAACACAACCTTCACACCTCTCACCTTAGAGGTGATCTCAAGCCGTTCACCTTCCTTTGTCACAACCATGTGACGGTAAAACTCCTTCACCAAACTCGGGTAAGTCTCGGCCCTTATGGCGAGAAACCCATCCAACAAACCTTGAAACTTAAGCAAATCCAACAAGGAACTTGAAAAAGATTCAGGATCAAAAGCTTTACCTTCAAGCACAAGGTAATGGGTATCCACCCATTCCGCTTTCCTAGCCAAACTTGACCTTCTAGGAATGGTAGAAGATGATCCAAACCTCAACAAACAAAGCCCACAACTGCTTCTTTTTCTTCTCCACTCACGCTGCCCCTCTCTCTCTCTCTCTCTCTCTCGCGCTGCTCGGCGACACGGCACAGCAGAACGGCGGCGGCGGCGAACAGCGACGGACAGGTTGGTGGTGGCGGGTTGCGAAGGAGCGACGGGGTGGGGTGGTATTGGATAGCTCAGGGTAGGGAGATGGAAAAAGGAGAAGAGAATTTGGGAAAAGAAATTAGGGATTTGGGTGAGATTGGGGAAAAAAGATGATTAAATTTGGGGATTTTGAACAAAGTGGAATTTTAAGGTTTAGGTGGAATTAAAATTGGTGAAATTTCAAGAAAGATATTTGGCTCAAGTGGTTTAGAGGTTGGATAGAAAAGAAATAGGCTAAGGTTCAAGCCTCAAAGGCTACAATCTAACATTAGGCTTGACTTTTAGGCTTCACAAGGAAAGACTTTGGGTAGGGATTTGCTATTTTCCAAATCAAAAAATTGAGCTACACACAAGATAACTCAAGGATAGATGGCTACCACAAACAAGGTACCAACTCAATAAAAACACTTAGCAAGAAAAGAGTCTATACTAAGCATCCAACGAAAAACTAACAAGGAAAGCACAATGAAAAACTAACAAGGAAAGCATGCCAAGGATTGCCAAACAAGGACAACTACGAAACACAAGATAACACCCAAGGCAACAAAGAACACAACGCTCACGGGGACAGAAGGATAAGCTCAAAAACAAGGGTTACCTGCTAACTCCTCCTCCACCATACCCTCCGACTCCGCCTGCGAACGCGCCATCACAAAAACTCTCCTAGGCAGCCTAGCTCCGACAGCTCCGCGACCTGAACTCCCTCCTGGTGCTCTTCCAGCTCCCGGGGGTGGCGGCAACGCTCTCTGACCGGCAAGCTGGGGACACTCCGCGACTCTATGACCAGCAACCCCACAGCGAAAACACTTAAACGCCTGGCCATAGCAAACTTAGCTCGGATGAACCTTCCCACACTTGCGAAAACCAATCGACTTAGCTTGAACCGGAGGCTCCATCCTAACTGGTCCTTGAGAAGAAGATGACACAACTCTAGCCGGAAAACTCGGTCGGGGCTTCTTGAAAGCAAAAGAACTTCCACTCTCAACTCTCTTCCTAGCCAACTCGAGCGAACTCTTCTGAAGCTGCTGAACACGAAATAGATCCGCGGCACACAGATACGCATCCTTGAGGGAACTGGGTTTACTCACCGTCAACGCTTTTCGTGCCTCATAATTCAGACCGGCAACGAAACGCTCAACCATGGCAAGCTCTGTAAGCACCAACACCCTCGTGAAGCGCGCCAACTCTAGGAACTTCTTGTTGGTACTCCACCACAGATAGAGGTCCTTGCTGCAGATGAAGGAACTCATCAAACATGGCAGCTCGCACATGCGCTGGGTAGAACCTTTCGCGCATTCTGTCCTTGAGCGCGGTCCAATCAAACCCAGGTTCTTCAAGGAAGGTCGGACTCTCATGAACCCACCACAAATCCGCTTCCTGGCAGAAGTAGAACGTTGCCAGTTCTAGTCTCCTCTCTTTGGGACAGCCCACCATGGTAAAAATCTTATCAAACACCCGTAGCCACTCTTCAAGGACTACAGGGTCTTCTTCACCAGCAAAGGAAGGCGGCCGATGCCCGGACACTAAATGACCTATATCGCGGTGCCCAACCGGAGGCGGAGGCAGCGCGGCTTGATTGTTGTTCAACAGAGCTTCACTGAGAGACTACATCGTCTGCGTCAGCTGATGGAGATTCTGGGCGAGCTGCTCGTTGGTCGGGGTCTCTAGGGAGCGAGCGCGAGGACGAGGAGGCATCGCACTTCTGCTACAACAACAAGGTTACCAAAAGAGCAAGCAAGCAAGCAAGACAGAAAGCAACACACATCTCACCGCGCAACCTAGAATACTAAGCCTAACACTTACAGCGCGTTTGGTTCACGGAATGAATTTTGAGGTAATAGGAATGCTTTTCCATAAGGAATGGAATAGGCAAGGAATAGAATAGGAATTGTATTCTATTGTTTGGTTCGCGGAAGGAATAGACTTTAGGAATTATATTACGGTGTTTGGTTGATTTAAGGAATAGAAATGAAATATGTTTTAAAAGACATAAATACCCTTATAAAAATATGTGATGGTGACGGTGGTTGTGGCGGTGGTGGTGGTGGTAGTGGTGCTGGGGTGGTAGTGGTGGTGGTGGCGGTGGCAGTGGTGGGGGCGACAGTGGTGGTGTTAACGGTGACGGTTGTGGCAGTGGTGGTGGGGGCAGCGACGGTTGTGGCGGTGGTGGTGGTGGTGGTGGCAGTGGTGCTGCTGGGTGGTGGTTCTGGTGGCGGTGGTGGTGGTGGTGGCGGCAGCGGCGATGGAGGTGGCGGTGGTGGTGGTGGTGATGGAGGTAGTGGCGGTGGCGGTATTGGTGGTGGTGGCGGTGGCAGTGGTGGTGGCCGCGGCAGCGGCGGTGATGGTGGTTGTAACACCCCGTGTCACGACCCCTAAGATCAATTAAATCATTTAATCAATTACCCAAAAGAAAGAATTAAATCACAATAATTAATTACGAAGGCCCACCATAGTCCATGGGCCCTTATCCCTAAACCCAATCCTTAGTCCCAAAAGAAATAGAATTAGCAAGCCCATAATATTAGTTCCTAACTAGGACTCCTAAATATATAAATAGGGGACTTAAGGGGCACCTAGAAACCCCCCACCACAAGAATAACGCCCACCACCCCAAAGAGCTCCAAGAATCCCCCTAGAAGAAATCAAGAAAGCAAGAAAGCTTAAAGAAAGACCCTTCATAGCCAAGGAATTAATTAAGGCTAAGAGGTAACCCATGTCTCAACAAAACCTATTTTCGTAGTTATGATTTCCCCCGTAGGTTTTCCCCATATTATTGTGTATCGATGATTTGTAATGTTATTATTGATGATTGATGGGACAATTCCATGGGTGATCTTGACATCGAGAGATTCTTGATAACTATGGTGTAACACCCCGTGTTACAGCCCCTAAAACCATTTAATTAATTAATCAATAGCCCAAGAGAAAGAATAAATCATAATTACGGAAAAAGGCCCACCATAGTCCATGGGCCCTCATATATAAACCCAACCCCTAAACCCAATCCTTAGTTCCAAAAGGAATAGAATTAGCGAGCCTATAATATTAGTTCCTAATTAGGACTCCTAAATATATAAATAGGGGACTTAGGAGGCACCTAGAACTTCCCACAAAAATAACGCCCCACCACCCCAAAAAGAGCTCCAAGAATCCCCTTAGGAGAAATCAAGAAAGCAAGGAAGCTTAAAGAAAGATCCTTCATAGCCAAGGAATTAATTAAGGCTAAGAGGTAACCCATGTCTCAACAAAACCTATTTTCGTAGTTATGATTTCCCCCGTAGGTTTTCCCCATATTATTGTGTATCGATGATTTGTAATGTTATTATTGATGATTGATGGGACAATTCCATGGGTGATCTTGACATCGAGAGATTCTTGATAACTATGGTGTAACACCCCGTGTTACAGCCCCTAAAACCATTTAATTAATTAATCAATAGCCCAAGAGAAAGAATAAATCATAATTACGGAAAAAGGCCCACCATAGTCCATGGGCCCTCATATATAAACCCAACCCCTAAACCCAATCCTTAGTTCCAAAAGGAATAGAATTAGCGAGCCTATAATATTAGTTCCTAATTAGGACTCCTAAATATATAAA